GAACATTCCAAAAATTTAGGACTGTTTAAAAACATCCAACAAACTTTTTTCAGCTATTGCAATTTCTGAGACATGGTTAAAAGATGAACAGGAGGATGTCGCCCAGATTGGTGGTTGAATCAAAGGGGCAGGGCGTTGCACTTTATGTTAAAGCCCCTACAAGGAACTTTCATTTTGAGTTGATTTTGGCGACCCTGTGGACAAAAGCGGTAGTGTTTTGCCAGAATGAAGCCTACATTTCCCATGAGCTCTAGCGCGTATTGCCGTAAAGACACTTACCTGGCTCGCGCATGTGTTTGTTCTGGGGATGAATGAAACAACAATACGGGAAAACTTTGCCCTCGCTCCTATCGGGGATCCCAGCTCACCTCTGCCGCGCCCCAGCTCCACCTCTCTGGTGTAAGCGCCACTGCCGCCGGGGTAAACGCAGCGGTCGGCTGGTAAGGCTGAAAGCCTGTTTGGCGAGCACTTCCACGGCTTCTTGGACTGAGTATGGAGCGGTGCCTCGCCTCTTTATTTCTCAGCACTCGCTGGACCCTGTCGACGCCTGGCTGGTACCTGTCGTTGGCCCGGATGAGGTGTTCCAGCCCCGCGGCCCCTGCTCTCCTCGTCCCCGCTGGCGCGGGGTGAATCTGAGCAACCTGCGGCCTCTGTGTGTGGCTCCCCGGACAGCTAACGCCGTGGCCCTGCCGGTTCCTGCCAGGATTGGGCTGGTAAATGCTAGATCGCTAGCGAACAAAACGTTTATCCTGAAGGATTTCCTGACTTCCCGAGGATTGGATTTTCTCTGTGTGACTGCGATGTGGCTGACTGTTGGTGAGTCCAGTGCTTTCACAGAACTTTTACCCGATGATTGCTGCTATTTTAACGTCGGGTCAAGGAGGAGGAATAGCGACTATTTATAAGAGTCACTAAATGTAAGTAGCTAGGTAAGATGACGTGTGCCGTCTGAGTGCCGTAAATCGTTTCGTCCTGGAAGCGACCTGGGGCGGACCCGGAGACAGTTTGCTAAAGGTATGGATATACACTATATAGAAATAGCTTATCTTCACACCGATGGTCTCATTTGCTGTTGTAGGTCACACACAGACATCAGCAGAAACCAGAGACTTTTGCATATCCAGTTAAAAGTTCCTTGTAGCGGCTTTAAGTCAACTCACCAATGTAAAATTGTTAAAAATATGTCCTTTTCAATAGAAAATATTTTGGAATGTGTTACAGTTGAGATTAAATGTGAAAAATCAAAAAATATAATTATAAGCTGTGTTTATAGAGCTCCTGGGTCAAACATTGATCTTTTTGAGGATAAACTTACAGAAATGTATAACACAATCAATAGCAATAAGCTTCTATTTGTCTGTGGAGACTTCAGTATAGATTTTCTAAATCCACATAATCACAAATAACAAAATTCATTAACTCTGTGTGTTGTATGGGATTGTATCCAACAATTACCCATCCAAGCAGGATAACTATGAACACAGCTACACCTATTGATAATATAACAAATGTCACTGAAGGGAACTTAACTTGGGGTTTACCTATAAGTGATGTTAGTGACCATTTGCCTGCACTGACTGCACATCTAACAAGGAAAATAACAGATGCAACTATTGAAAATCTTAGAAAGGACTTACTGCATCAAAACTGGAACGAAATTTATGTTGATGATATTGACAAATCTTAATTTATTTACATTATTTCAAAGTTATATGATAAACACTGCTCTCTTGTGGCCAAAGCAGGTAACAAATGGTATACAGACAAACCATGGATAACAAAGGGGCTACAGAATGCATGTAAAGAGAAAAACCTATTGTATAAGCAATTCCTAAAACTTAGAACTAAGGATGCTGAAAGCAAATATAAGACATACAAAAATAAATTAACTTGTATCATGAGATCTAGCAATAAATTATATTACAATGAATTACTAGAAAAAAACAGAACTAATATTAAAGGCAGATTCTAAATGAAATTATCAAAAAGAAAAAAAGTCGTTAAAGATTACCCATCTTTCTTTTACTCAAATAATGATGCAATCATTAAGGAAAATAAACCTATAGCAGATCGATTCAATGAATACTTTGTTAATGTGGGTAAAAATCTAGCCAACTCTATTGTATCCCCTAAAAATATTTACTGGGAAGACATCAATACCATCAACATAATATCGGATTCAATGTTTATTAAAAAACTGATGAAAAAGAAATAATTGATATAGCTCGTAAATCAAAAGATAAAAAAATCAACGGACTGTAAGAATTTTGATACGTTTTTGATAAAGAAAATTATTGATTGTATTGTTAAATTATATTTGTAACCTGTCTCTAATGAGTGGAAAATTTCCATCAAAAATGAAAATAGCTAAAGTGAGCTAAACTGCTGTTTAAATCTGGTGACAAACATGTATAGGCCAATCTCACTGCTACCACAGCTCTCCAAAATTTTGGAAAAGGTATTTGTGGAGAGGCTAAATGATTTCTTATCAAAGCACCAAATACTCTGTGAACAGCACTAGCTCTCATGTAGCCTGGAAATCCAGACCCAAATCTAGAAAGATTTAGGGTCTGGCCATGAGTAATGCAAATGGCCCAACTCGAGGGGCGGCACCAAGCATGCATTTGTAAATATCACTGTTCCTTTTTTAGAGAAAAAGCCAAGTCTAACTCGTTCATTGTAGCGGCCAAAGCCGTTTCAAACACCTGGTGTAATACAACTGGTTGCAGTGTTTACTGACTGATTCCGGACTTCGTCGTCGCAGCGCTGTCGTCATCTGTTTAGCTTGCCTCTGGCCCGCCTATATCAGATACACTGATGTGATTGGTGCAGCTCGGTTTCATGGGCATAGGTAATGACCATCATTTCTGATTGCCAGAGGGACTCGCTGAGCAAATTCAAATTGTGCTCTCGTAAGAACTCTAGATTTCCAGGGTAGCCCTAATGGACTTTGCTGAAGAAATTACAAATGCCATTGATAAAAAGCAGTACAGCAGGGGTATTTTTTGATTTACAGAAAGAATTTGACACTATTGACCACACCTTATTATTAACCACATTACAAAAGTATGGCATCAGGGGATTGGCACATGACTGGTTGACCAGCTATTTACAAAATAGGTATCAATATGTTCATATTAATAAGACAAACTCAGAGTACTTGAAGGTTACATGTGGTGTGCCTCAGGGTTCGGTCCTTGGTCTATTGCTTTTTCTTTTATATATTAATGACATAAGTTTGGTTTCAAAGTCACTGAATTGTATTTTATTTGCTGATGATACGACTGTGTTCTGTTGTGGGGATCATTTGGGACAGCTTCTGGATACAGTGGAGAAGAACTGCAGAAATTCAAACAATGGTTTGATTTAAACAAATTATCACTTCACTTTGGCAAAACAAAGTGAAGTGATAATTTGGAAATAAGTCCATGAACTCAAGCAGAAGTTTAACAATAAATGATGTTGATAATGAAATTGTATCTGAAACAAAATTCCTTGGAGCTATCATGTTGATCTGTTCTGTACGACATCTATTGCACATCTGTCCGTCCTGGAAGAGGGATCCCTCCTCAGTTGCTCTTCCTGAGGTTTCTACCGTGTTTTTTTTCCCCGTTAAAGGGTTTTTTGGGGAGTTTTTCCTGATCAGCTGTGAGGGTCATAAGGACAGAGGGATGTCGTATGCTGTAAAGCCCTGTGAGGCAAATTGTGATTTGTGATATTGGGCTTTATAAATAAAATTGATTGATTGATTGATTGATTGATTGATTGATATTATTGATGACAAATTAAGTTGGAAATCCCACATAAATTATGTTAAATCAAAAATGTCAAAATCCATTGCAATTTTGTACAAAGCCCATGATTTCCTCTCTCAAAATTCACTAATTACACTTGATAATAGCTCCATATATGACATATTTTATTGAGGTCTGGGGAAACACATATAAAAGAAATACTTTGTTATATAAATTCAATAAATTATATATAAATTCTATATTTTTATTGCAAAAGAAAGCTGTAACAATTATCTGTAAAAAAAAAAAAAAAACCTTATCGCGAGCCAACTAACCCACTATTTATTTGCAAAAACATTTTGAAATTCACGGACTTAGTTGATTGCATCCCAATACAAACCACGTACAAAGTAAAAAACGAACTTCTGCCTCCACCTCTCAAAAACTGTTTAAAATGAGAGACACCAGATATAATCTGAGGGGAACATTATTATTTGATAAACCAAAGAACCGAACTAATGTTAAAAATAACTGTGTTTCTGTGAAAGGGGTAAAGATGTGGAACAACTGTCCCGAAAATATTAAATCATGTTGTACATTACACATCTTTAAAAGATTCTATAAAAACTACATTATTTCTTGCTATGGTAAAGACAATTAAGTTTACTGACTGTACTATTATTTCCGAATTTGTGCGCTGTGCGCTATTCGTTCTATTGTGTGATGGAAAATTTAAGTTTATTGATATGATTGATTTCAAATTCTTGCACGTTGCTCTTTTGTATTTGTATTGTTATGACGAGTATAATTTTGTAAGGTAAAATGGGTAGGTGTTTCTAAGCTTTAGCTTCCACCCTTTCAGTTACATTGATTATTGAAATGTACTGACATAAACACATTCATTCATTCAGCTGCTTCAACTTGCCTTTGATATCAGAGGGTTGTATGATGTAACTGATCTCTGACATCACTCACATCATGTGACCTAAACGCACCAATGCCCAAATGTTTCACCACCGTGGAATAAATGAATAATAAAATACATTAATATAAGATGGACGTGTGGCGTTTACAGAGACGCCGTCACAGCTTCCTGAGTGGTAAACATGTAGTTAACATGTAGTAACCATTTAATAAAAAATGTAAACATGAAGTAAACATATAAACATGTAGTAAACATGAAATAAACAAACACGTGTTGCCTTAAAAACAAAGGAATGGTTTTTATGTGAATATTTACTGAACATGTTTGTTTCTGTGTTTCAGGTCCTGAACAGGAAGGGCTTCATCAAATTGGCTCTCAAACACGGGTGGGTGGGGCTTATGGAAGGGGGGTGGGTGGGTGGGCGGGGCTTCAATCAGTACACTAACTCTGTGTGTGTGTGTGTGTGCGTGTGTACGCATGTGTGCAGAGCTCAGCTGGTCCCAGTCTTTTCCTTTGGAGAAAACGAGTTGTTTGATCAGATGGAGAATCCCAGCGGCTCGTCTCTGAGGAGGCTGCAGGTCAGAGGTCACACCGACGTTCACACTGCATTCACACAAACCATGACACACACACACACACACTCATCGGTCATCCTGTGTCCACAGAACCGGCTGCAGAGCATCATGGGAGTGGCAATGCCTCTGTTTCACGCCAGAGGAGTTTTCCAGTACAGCTTTGGTCTGATGCCCTACAGGAAGCCCATCCACACTGTCGGTAAGACCGCAGTGTTAGCCTGACGTTAGTCTGACATTGGGTTAACGTTAGCATGATCTTAGCCTGACGTTAGCGTGACGTTAGGTTAATGTTAGCCTGATGTTAGGTTTATGTTAGCCTGATGTTAGGTTAACATTAGCCTGATGTTAGGTTAATGTTAGCCTGACGTTAGCTTTATGTTAGCTTTACGGTAGGGTAAAGGTTAAGTAAATGTTAGCCCGAAGTTAGTCTGATGTTAGGTTAAAGTTAGCCTGACGTTAGATTAATGTTAGCCTGATGTTAGGTTTATGTTAGCCTGATGTTAGGTTAACATTAGCCTGATGTTAGGTTTATGTTAGCCTGATGTTAGGTTAACATTAGCCTGATGTTAGGTTAATGCTAGCCAGACGTTAGCTTTATGTTAACTTTATGGTAGGGTAAAGGTTAAGTAAATGTTAGCCCAAAGTTAGCCTGATGTTAGGTTAATGTTAGCCTGATGTTAGGTTAGGGTTGTGCGGTATACCCATTTGTACCGAAAACCAGTATTTATTTTCATTATGATATGAATTTTTCATATGCCGCAATACGGGTGAATAGCCCAAACAACATCAACATTTTTTTCATCTTAGCTCTTTAGAAAGTACCGTTATATTATTTGGCGCTACGGATGCTTCATATCCAGGCCTATCGAACAGGTCTATACCTTGTCCGTTTATTAAACAAACTAAATAGCCTTAAGTTATTAAGTTATTTATTTATTAGTCTTATTTACATGACGGCATGTCATTTCTGTCTCTACATGGTCGCGCATTTACAATTCTCCTCTGCTCTCTGTATCTCCCACGGTGGAGTTTCGCCCCGATGCGCGCGCACACACACACACACACACACACACGTGCGCACACACACACACAAGTGAGCACACTACAACACGGCTCGGGCCGCATTTTCCTGACCAAAGCCGACCCGAGTCCGCGACAATTATAACCGAGTCCGGCCTGAACCCGCAGCACAGCACTAATGCAGCGGAGCCTGTGTTGTGTTCAGGCGTTGTCACGTAAATAACAAATTCCAGCACTTGAATAGGCCATAGCACAACACAACAGCATGTCAAGTGGGCCAAACCAGAGCAAAATACCGTCAAATACTGTGAAACTGATATGATTTTTTTTTTTTAAAAAACGTGATATGAAAATTTTGTCACACCGCCCAGCCCTATGTTAGGTTAATGTAAGCCTGAAGTTAGGTTAGTGTTAGCCTGATGTCAGCCTGATGTTAGGTTAGTGTTAGCCCAATGGGAGGAGTGGGAGGAGCAGATGGATCTGACGTGTTGTCTGTTTTCAGTGGGAAGGCCGATCTCAGTGGTCCAGACTCCCAGTCCCAGCAGAGAGGACATCGAGTGTCTCCATAAAGTTTACCTGCAGAGTCTCACTGAGCTGTTTGAGCAGCACAAACACACCTATGGCCTCCAGGAGCACCAGCACCTTACCTTCATATGACCTTTACATGACCTTCATCTCACCTTCACATGACCTCCATATGACCTTAACGTGATCTCTATCTCACCTTGAAATGACCTTCATCTGACCTTCACATGACCTTTATCTCACCTTTATATGACCTTCACATTGCCTTCATATGACCATCACATAAACACCTGGCCTTCATATCACCTTTATCTTCATCTCTCACCTTCACATGACCTTCATATCACCTTCACATGGCCTTCATCTCACCTTTATATGACCTTCACATGGCCTTCATATGACCATCACATAAACACCTGGCCTTCATATCACCTTTATCTTCATCTCTCACCTTCACATGACCTTCAATTCACCTTTATATGACCTTCATCTCACCTTTATATGACCTTCACATGACCTTCATCTCACCTTTATTAGACCTTTATATGACCTTCATCTCACCTTTATATGACCTTCACATGACCTTCATCTCACCTTTATTAGACCTTTATATGACCTTCACATGGCCTTCATATGACCTTCACATAAACACCTGACCTTCATATCACCTTCATCTTCATCTCTCACCTTCACATGACCTTCATATCACCTTCATCTTCATCTCTCACCTTCATACGACCTTCATTTCACCTTTATATGACCTTCACATGACCTTTATCTCACCTTCATCTAACAATCATCTCACCTTCATATGACCTTCATTTCACCTTTATATGACCTTTATCTCACCTTTATTAGACCTTTATATGAACTTCTCATGACCTTCATGTGACCTTCACATAAACACCTGACCTTCATATCACCTTCATCTTCATCTCTCACCTTCACATGACCTTCATATCACCTTCACATGGCCTTGATCTCACCTTTATATGACCTTCTCATGACCTTCATATGACCGTCACATAAACACCTGACCTTCATATCACCTTCATCTTCACATCTCACCTTCACATGACCTTCATATGACTTTCCCTATGATGTGTACATAAACATTACTACATTTCCATGACAACAGGAGCTGGTTGATTTGAAAGTAAAACTTTCTTCTTATTTCTGTTGACATTTGTAACGTTTCTGTTGAACTGTTTCACTGTGTGTTGAAGAGCGACGTAAATATGTTATTGAGTATTTATTATGTTTCTTTAATAATTACATGATGATGTAACATTGACAGCTTGGTCATGCAGAGGTCTAATGTGACATCACAGTGACATCATAGTGACATCATAGTG